GGCGGATGAGTGAGTGAATGAGTGGGCGAGTAGGCGGATGAGTGAGTGAATGAGTGGGCGGGTAGGCGGATGAGTGAGTGAATGAGTGGGCGAGTTGGCGGATGAGTGAGTGAATGAGTGGGCGGGTAGGCGGATGAGTGAGTGAATGAGTGGGCGGGTAGGCGGATGAGTGAGTGAATGAGTGGGCGGGTAGGCGGATGAGTGAGTGAATGAGTGGGTGGGTAGGCGGATGAGTGAGTGAATGAGTGGGCGGGTAGGTGGATGAGTGAGTGAATGAGTGGGTGGGTGGGTGAGTGAGTGAATGAAAAACTCTGGCGGCAGATTACGTGGCTTTTCTCCTGCAGAGCTCCTGAGTGGGTTTGAACTGTCAACCTTTTCGGTCAGCAACTGAGTGCTTAAATGCCGTGCCCCCACACTCCTGGTGCACCATGTACAAATTCACTGCCCTGCTGGCTACCGGTAACGGGTCTGCCGGGCCGAGGGAGGGTGAGAGCACTCGTTCCTGTGAGCACCCAGGGGCGGTTCCAAGTTCCTTCTAGATTCAGCAGGGAGAGCACTGACGACGTCACTGATGACGTCTCACATCGGGGAGGAAAACCGTGAAGAAGGGAATTTAGCCCACTACCACTTTCCCGATGATCAACCACATAATCCTCCAAGAGAGACTTACCACATAACTAGAAAATCCATCATTCATCCTCACACACTCTGTATACAGGGGGCTGTCAGTTGCAAATCCTGCGAGGCAGATCCAAAAGGGCCTGTCGGCTTTTTTATTCGAGCCGTACAGCCTGCGGATCTGTCCTGCCAGTCTGCTCAGCTCCTGGAAGGACCAAGGGCACGGCATGGTGAACGCGCCAACTCACTCGAAACTCAGCATCCACAGAGGCCTGCCCGGCGAGTCACGGAAGGCGACTCCTGAGTTCCCACAACACCAGAGTGGGAGCGTGGATGTGGCTGCTCTGGGATGCCCAATGGCATCACCCGTGCAGCTAAAAAGGAAGACACTGCCCAGAAATACAGCGGGTTAACCAACAAAGAACAGCTGAGTTCTGGACCCAAGGCCATGCCGCTGCCCACGATTAGAAAACACAGTTTTTGAATCTGTGGTTGGTAGCATTTGTCTAAAAGCCTATCGAGTGAGGCTTAATACTGAAATGATTATAAAGAGGTTAGGGTCACTCGGCGGAGATGGCCACATTCAGTCAATGTGGCACCTTCTCCCTGCGCCCACCTGACCTCAGAGAGACCTCCCGCAGAGAAGGTGGCTTCAGTCTCTCCTGATTTGCTTCAGCAGAGGGCAAGGAAGGCTGTGGGCCTGCCTGAATCTGAGATTTCAATGACTACACACACGAGGGAGCCCCAGGTTGGCCTTTTGGGTGGGCTATCCATCAAGTTCTTGGTCATAAATCCAGAGCTCAAGTTTTCCTAGTTCCTCTGAAAAAACACACAAACACTAGCACACCCAACATGGGGAGTGGGAAAGATGTGATAAAAGTTTACCTGCCTCGCAGGGAAGAACGTCACCCCCAGCGAGCCTTCCCACAGCAAGAAACCTGGCAAAGAGCCCCCTCCAGAAGAAGATACAAGGTGTCACTCCTGAAGAACTGAGCCTGAAAGGGTCCCTCCAGACTGGGGACACCACAGAGAAGGGGAATGGTAGGTACTAGGCTTAAAAAACAACAACCCACTGCCATCAATTCAGGACTGACTCACAGTGACCCTCAGAACAGGGTAGAACTGTCCCGGTGCTTTTCCAGGACTGTAACTGTTTATGAGAGTAGAAAGCCCTGTCATTCCCCTGGGAAATGACTGGTGGTTTTGAACTGCTGACCTAGCAGATCATAGCCCAACTCGGACCCACTATGCCACCAGGGCTCCTGTTAGGTACGAAGCAGGAGAACGGGGTAAAGATGTGCTGACAAGACTGGAGGGTGTCTATTCTCTTGCAGATCCCTCACAGCCCTCAGCATCCCACTGCAATGCTGGTTTCCTAAAGAATCTCAGGGGACTGGGCTGGTTACACTGGGAGGGACAGCTGCTCCTGTCTGGGCCTCCCCCCTGAAAGTAGGAATGTGGGACTTCCCGATGTCCCGATGTCCTACCTTCTTAGACATGTGGTCCGTCATACTCAAGTCGATGCAGAGTCGTGGTCCAGAGTCTTTAGCTTTCAAAAGTCTCTCTTTGGTTAAGGCTCTCAGAAAACGTTTGCTGTGCTGGGGGCAGCTGGCTAGAACAGAAACAGCAGACAAGATGGAAAGTGGAAAAACATAAATCCTATTGAGTGAACAACTACTCTCTCCAGCGAGGCGCAGGACTTGTGCATGGCACACTTACACTCGATTTGGGTACCCCAGGGTGGGCTCTGGAGCTGGGGCGGGGGAGGTCCTGGTCCTCTCATTTATTAACTGTGTGATGTTGTACACAGCCAGAGTGCTCCTTAGAGGCAAGGAGGGCGGGACTTCGTCTTACACACTTTAGACATGCTGTCGGGAGAGACCAGTCCCTGGAGAAGGACATCATGTTTGGGAAAGGCAGAGGGGCAGTGAAAAAGAGGAAGGACCTCAAGAAGAGGGGTCGAGGATTTATAAACACTTCCCCTCCCCCAAGGGGGACAAGTACCAGTAATGCGGGTGAAGGGAGACAGTGGATTTTATAAGAAACGAAAATAATGATAACAATATAAAATTGATCATCAAGGATTCACAAGGGTGGGGATGGGGGAGAAGCTGATACCAAGGGCTCAAGTAGAAAGAAAATGTATTAACTAGGATGATGGCAACATATATACAAGTGTAATTGATACAATTGAATTAATAATAGTACTGACTGTAGATAATCCTAGTCAAAATAGTACCGGCCCGAACACATACCATGGAGTAAGGCTAGCTCCTGTCAATACCATTCTTTCCACTCCTGAGCATATAAGCACTTATGTTCAATAGACAACTGAGATTTGAAAGGCAACCTTAAATTTTGCTTTCTTTGATATTACACTCCTACCTTTCGAGAAAACAAAAATCCTTACAACTGGACTGCACCATGATAAATGGGAAAACTGCATGGTGATAAATGGGAAAAGATAGAAGTTGTCAATAATGCTGACTTGGAGCCACGTCAATACCCACGGAGGCTGCAGTCAGGAGGTCAAATGAGGCACTGCCTTGGACAAACCTGCTGCCAAAAGACCTCTTTCAAGTGTCAGAGAGCAAAGACGTTGCTTTGAGGACTAAGGTGTGCTTGATCTGAGCTACGGTGTTTTCACATACAGGCAAGAGCTGGAGACTGGATAAGACAGGCGGGAGAAGAATTGGTGCATGAGAATTACGGTGTGGACTGCCAGAAAAATAACCAAATCTGTCCTGGAGGAAGGACAAATGGAACATTCCTTAGAAATGAGACTTGGTCTCAGATACTGTGGACATAAGAGCAGGAAGAATCATTCTCTGAAGGACATGTTTGGTAGAGGGTCACTAACAACAAGACCCTCAACAAGACTGACACAGCGACTGAAACGATGCGCTCTAACAGGAATGGCTGTGAGGATAGCACTCTGTTACGGACCTCTGGGAGTCAGGACCCACTGGTAGAGGGACGCTCAGAACCACCACCTTCCGGATGTTTCTTTCCCCTTCAACAAAGTCTGCTCTCCTGGGCACACAGACCCCAGCTGGCTGAGGATACACACACTACACTGGCGATCTGGCTGTTCCTCACCTGTGTGTCCGGCATGGCTGGCTTTCCGTCTCTCTTTTTCTTGCTTTCTTTTGCTCTTCTTGGCAGCAACTATCTTTTCCCAGTGTTTCTGTTTTCTTTGCACATTTTTCTTACATTATCCGGGAAAGAAAATGGTTTGAGAACTTCGTAAGCACCAGAAAAGGAAAGTGAATATCAGAAACAGTTACTGTATATACTCGTGTATAAGCCGAGTTTTCCAGCACATTTTTAATGGAGTTTTTGTGGTAAAATTAGGTGCCTTGGCTGATATTCGGGTTGGCTTATACTCGAGTACCTATTTATTGATTTTTTTAACTTAAAAGTTAGGAGAGAAAATGAATATTAGTCTTAAGAAACAAACCTAAGTGAATGGTGTTAACAGAAAAAATTAAGCCCAGAGAGACATGGCCTTTCCACAATCCAGGTTAATGCATTTCCTGACCCTGTCAATGCTCCAGAAAGAGGGTCCATTCACATCAAAAGGGTGGAGGAATGCGATGGGTCCTGCATTAACCGTGACTCTACTGTTGGGAGCCCTGGGGACATCTTGGGCAAGCATTTGGCTGCTCACCAGGAGGCTGGTGGTTCAAATCCACAGCTGCTCTGGGGGAGGAAGATGTGGCAGTGGGCTTCCATCAAGATGTACGCCCCTGAAAACCCTCTAAGGCAGTTGTGCTGTGTCCCACAGGCCCAGTGTGAATCAGAACTGACGACATCAGTGGAAGGATTTCTTTTGAGCCTTTTTTTTTGAAAGGATGACTGAATGGAACTACGACTCTAAGCCAGTTGACTGATGCCAGTTTCTCTAGCTGCCACTGGTATCTACTCCTCGAACAGGGAGCTGCTGCTGTCTCAGAGCACCCAGCCCCCGGGCTCCTCACACTCACCGAGCAGCAGGCGGCCGCGCCTGTGGGCAGGCTCTCCCTCTCTGGGCTCTCCCAGTCCACTTCAATCTGCAGGAGCTCCAAGCTCTCAGAGATGCCATCTTCGCTGCCGGCACCCTCCACAAGGCCGTCCTGGCCCAGCAGCATCCGTGATTCTGTTTTCTACGTTCTTCTCCCTTCCGGTTTTCACTCCATGTGTTTAGTTCTCTGTCCTGCTCACCTAGGTGGATGACAGAAACGCCGACGTGAGATGTGATGCCACTCAGAGACTTCAGTATCTCTCGATGTCCCAAGGACAAACACTGGTAATCGTGTGTAAACCACTGACCCACGTTTACTGAACTGAGGACAGCGTGTGCACCTGGAGAAATGAGCCACGTCACTGATTGTGCTCTCTGACATGCACAGCATCACCTGAGAGGAGAGCAAAGGTCACCTTCTGAATGCTATTTTCAAATGGGTCCTTTAGCAAATGTTCACGGAGTGCCTATTATGCGCACGTTTGGGTACCAGAAGCCTGTGGGGAGAAGGAAGTGCTAAGCAAAACCATGGTAAGAAAATTCTTCCCGGGTGCTGGGGGTGGATCAGAATTAGTTCTTCAAACGGTGGGGTGGCACTCTCCCCCACTTTGAATGGCAGTACAACTTTTGGTTAAAGTTACCTGTCGGGTAATTGAGCTCATCCTGGCACAACAGCTACTACTACCCACCTGTGCCTGCTCCTCTCAGTTCAGTCTTATCATTAATTTAGAAAACCGCCTATCTTTAAAAATAGGTCAGTATAATTAAGATAGATGCATATGGTAAAAGGGCTATCCTAATGAAAAGTAATGTTCCCCTTTCCAACGCGAGTGGTAAGCTGACCTGAAATCATATAGCTACATCATTGCTTTGTTCAAGTTGCCCACCTGTTTGCTTTCAGTAGTAGATCGTGCATTTCTTCTAGGTGTTCACATTGTACAATTTCCCCCCATAGTCCATTATGATCTTTTTGATCTCAGTTGGTTCTATTATGACACCCATCTCATATCTTATTTTGGTTATTTACATTGTCTCATTTCTCTATCTGGTCAATAGTTTGTCAACTTAATTGATCCTCTTCAATAACCAATGTCTAGAATTGTTGATGCCATTGGTAATCGTCCTCTGATAGTTATGATTTTCTTTTTTTTCCCTGGTGACTGGGACTCTCTTGCTGCTTTTAACACTGCCCATTGATGAGCAGGAATTGTAAATTCTGACGTTTAGTTTATCCACTTTTCAATGTTCTTTAAAAAAAAATTGCTTACCCCAAAGTCACAGAGATATTTTCCTATAAACTCTTCTGGAAGATTTATAGTCTTTGTTTGTCCATTTAGGCCTATAATCGATCACAAATTTACTCTCAGATATGGTCTGAAGAAGGTGAAAGGTCTATTTTTTCTATATAGATATAGCTGGCTCAGCATGAAGCTTTCTTTCCAAGCTGCATTACTCAAGCACCTGTAGCCTTCATTGACTTTGCCTATTGCATCTAAGTTGTCAAATTAGACACAAAGCTATTCACAAATATAATTTTTTAAACACCTGCAGAACCTAGAGCAAGGGGTCCTTGTGGCATAGATGCGCTGAGCTGCGAATTGAAGTTAGCTGTTTGGAACCATTAGCTGCTCTGAGAGAAAAAGAGCTTGGTAGAATGAACCTCGGGACCTCACCAGCAGTTCCCCAGGTCCTACCCGGTTGCGGTGCGTCCAAATGGACCAGATGGCAGTGAGTTTGGTTCTTGAGAGGACTTACAGGAATGTCCTCGGTTTTGCTTCTGACACTTGTTGCTGTATGTGTGTATCTCCCTCTGTGACCCTCCTTTTTTTCTCCCCCTTGATCTATTAAGACTTGGGCTTAACAATTTTGTTACTCTTCTCAGAGAATGTACTGTTGGTTTTACATAGTCTGCTCTATTTTCTATTTCATTGATTTCTATGGAGTCTTAAAAAGCAACAGTGAAGCTCAAAATCACAGAAACACAGATCTACTCAATCCATGCGCAACATTATCTGTGCCCAAATTTAATACATTTATTCCTTCATTTAAAAATCCTCTCTGCCGCTCCAGGTCCTGTCCTGAGCCCGGTGGCCATTCAACTAATTATCCAATGGCTCAACTAATTATCCAAAGGCTAATCACGAAGCACAAGCATGGCCATGACTGTTCATGCTTAAGTTTGGGGGACGACATTTATTCTGCCTTCATGGGGCTCGAATGATCTGACTGAGCCTGGCCTGCTAACTGCCCTGATCGTTTGTTTTTCTGGAGATGCGAGGGCTGAAGAGTTCACTTGCAAGTCCCCAGTCCTCAGGATCTGAATCTCACAAAACAGCATCATCCCTAAATACGGAATAACCATGTCATTTTTCTGCCTCTCCCCTATTTTCCTTTGCAGAAATTCTGGTCGTCTTGCTCTTTAACATTCCAAGGATAGTCCCGCCTCGCGGCTTCTGCACTCGCTCCTACCCCATTGACTTGCATGGAATGTGGCAAAGAACTTACTTATCCGGATTCCTGTCTGAATGTCCCCATCCGGTCCCTGGAATGTAAGCAAGGGGTGTTGTCTGCTTTGTTCACTATCGGGCCGCTAGGAGTCAGAACTGACTCTGAGGGCAGTGAGTTTGGTGGGGGTTATTATTATTATTTTCACTAAAGTAGCCCCAACTTAGGGGGGAAAAAGTCTTGGTTCACAGGGAGCATGTGCGAGGGGCGGCAGGAAGAGAACGTACCAGGAAGGGGGTACACCGTCCTGGGTAACTGGTAAACGCTGCTTCCCAGTCCCCGCCCCACCTGCAGACAAAGCGGTGTTTCTGGCGGGAACCCCAAGCCCCTAGCGCGGCCCCTCCACGCGCTCCCGCCGTACCTCGCCCGTCACCTCCTCCGCCGACTGCAGCAGGGCGCGCTTGGCCCGCCTCCAGGATCACTTCCGGGTCCTGCTCCCTCTCCGAGCGGCATTCTGGGAATTGTAGTTTCAAGATGGCGGGGACAGTAGTTCCTGTGGGATGGGCGTGTGCACGTGGCCCTGAACCCCCGCTTCTTCCGCTTCTGTAGCCTTCTGTTAGATAAGCGTTTACTGTCCCACCCTCCTGCCGGCCTGCTGCTGCAGACGATCAAGCGCTGTCAGGAACTGCGCATTGAAAATGGGACTGAATCCAAGCCATGAACGACCCTTAAATTAATGCTGCAGACACGTTGCCGCCCCAGTCCCCCTTCCCCACGACCAGCAGGGCCTTTAAGCTGATGCTGCCCTTTCCTGGCTGTCCAGCCCCACAACACGGAGAGATCGTGATGTGGGCAGGCAGTCTGGCCGGGCCACTCTTCCCCTCTCGATCTCTCCATAGGGAGGCTGGGGGAACTGAAGTTACCCGTTCCAGCTATGGCCTTTAGAGCCTCTCAATTACCCTTCCCTTTACTCCGCTGATCCTTGGGGGCTCACCCTTGCAGAGAGAATTTGCTGTCAATGGAGCAGTCATGGGAGGCTCCTGATCAGGAACCTCCAACACATGCCTTCCCCCGAGCCATGCCTCAGCCCATTGTTGATCGATCTGATTCCAGGGCCACGTTTTAAAGGCTAAAAGGACACATTCCCCACAACAGGTTTTTTCAACAGGCCAGCTCTAGTGTCCCTCTGCTTTCGGAAGCTCATCCCGACTTCTACTGCCTGCTGGAATAGACCTAAAGGGACCTAGGTGGTCTTTAGCTGCCCTTCCAGACTTTACCTCCCACCTTCACCTGACATTCAGCCATACTGCCCTTTCTGCCTGCACGCTCCCTCTCTGCCCCTCCCCCTGCCGTCACTTGGTGTCCCTGCGCCTCTGAATGAGCTCATGGCCATTGCCCCTTGGAAGGCCACCTAACTGGGCCCACCACTCCCTCTGCTCCCACCCCAACCACCAGCCGGGTGATTATGCCTCTCTCCTAACTCCAAATACCCCTCAATGCCTGCTCACTGAAGTACCCCTAGGGCTCATTTGCTGACCTGCCGACTCTCGTCTGTAGTTTCCCACGGCTTAAGCTTGCTTTTTCTGCATTCGTTTTCCCGGCTCAGAGCCACTGGACTCAAATTTTTGCCAGGCTGCTGCCCACATCCATAACTGTCCCCATTAGGCTCGCCGCAAAGATAAACGGAGGCCAGGCCAGAGAGAAGGAGAAGTTTATTCTGTGCTCCTGGACAAGATTCACAGGCTCCAGCAAGGAAATCAGTTTAGTCCAGCTGCCCGGGAGGGGAGAGAAAGAGACATGTGACCTGAGCTCCGGGTGAGTGAAGTTCATGGGCTCCCAGCTGCCCCCTCCCCCCAAGTCTATCTGTGGTGAAGAGCAAGTTTTTAAGCTGTCTGGAGGGTAAACAAGAATGGGGGGGTGGGGGTGGCAGGAGCTGCAGGGGCTTAAGCTGTCTCCATTCATGTAATTCCAAGCTAGGGTGGTGCCTGAAACCCTAGAAGATGGCTCCTTGTCTAAGGTGACCAGATTTTAACATTGGTAAAGCGGGACACCATTGATAAAACTCATATCCTGGAGATATAGCCACATGGCAGCCGAAAATCGTATACCCTAGCTTGTCGTGCATTCTTTCCAAAAATTGGGACTTTTTTAAAACGCCGCGGAACCCGGGACAAATTGTTAAAAATCGGGACTGTCCCGCCAAAAGCGGGACGTCTGGTCACCTTATCTTTGTCTGTCTTGGTCTGATAAGAGCAGGTCAGACTGTTCCTAACCCAACCATAAAGTGGTAAGTTCCCTAGATGTTCATCCCCACCCCCCCACAACCCCCACTAGTGTGCAGCTGTGATCGGACTAGAACCGTCACCCCACCCACCTGTGGTTTGTTGCTACAGTCATAAACCCGAATTTGAGTAAGCTCAGGACTGAGAGACACAGCGATAGCTGATTCCCGGTCGCCAGCTTCTCAAAATAAATATATAAGCATAAAGCTTCTCACGGCTGTGTGGCCCTGATGAACTTGGAAACCAGGTGCAACTTCACTGTGCTTGGTAGTAAAATCCAGTCTCCCCCACCCCTCCGCTCCCACCTTGCACAGCTGAATGTCTGCCTGACCCTCCAGTCTCAGCTCATCGTGGTCTCCCCTGCTGGTTGTGCGTCAGACACCCCAAGGGCCTTTCCTCCAGCCTCCCCCGCCCCACCCACACACACCTTCATCTTTAGACTTCAGCACCAACCAGTGGTTCTCACTGCGACCCTTTCATACAGTTCCTCATGTTGTGGTGACCCTCCAACCATAAAAGTATTTTCGTTGCTACTTTATCACTGTCATTTTGCTACTATTATGAATCGGGTGACCCCTGTGAAAAGGTTGTTCGACCCCCAAAGGGGTCGCAACCCACAGGTTGAAACCCGCTGCACACTCCCTCATTAAAGAGGCCTTTTTTGACCACCTAGTAAGATTGGGCCACCCCACTCCATCTTCTTGGCATCCTCTATTTTCTTCATACAACATAATTCCCACAACCCCCCCCCCCAATACCATTTCTCTAAGATTAATTACATCCGCCATGTTCCTGGTTGTAGTCCCAGTGCCCGTGTATATATAGTATCTGTCGGCAGGAAGAACAAGTGGATACTTTTTCTTTCTTGCTACATCAAATCCTAGTTTCCTTTCCCTGCAATGCAGAGCAGGGCACACAGCAGAGGATCAATGACACACAAACAGTCCTTGGTTTATAATGGACTTCCCCTGAAAGCCTGTCTCTACGTTGAATTTGTACATTGGAACAATTACATACGGTTCCTTTTTGACATTAGTCAAACATTTGTCTTAGTATAGAGCATACTAGGAGAGGCGTCCGTGAAAGTGGGAGGTGATTGTTACGAACAGTGGGTGCGTTTTTTTATTGGATTAAGGATTTACTTGATGTTACCTTCTGAGGCGGCCCCATGTGACAGGAGAGAAAACCCAAGCACTGAGAGGTTGTGTCTTGTCTAGGGTCCCACCAAGAAAAGTGGCTCAGTGGGGGTTAATGAGAATCTTTTGCTCTAATAGTATTCTGAAAGGAAAAACTCTTACTTCAGTCCACAGTAGGGTTTTGATATTTGCCTCTTTATACAGAATTAGGGCACAAAATTAGAGGTGCAGTCAACTTCTGATGTAACAGTTGGGGGGAGGCCAGGCAACAAAGGGACTTACTGCCACCTAGTGGAATTGTCAGCATATTGCATGGAAGCATCCAGAGGCTACAAACCCAGAGGGAAGGTACCCAGTTCCTAGTGGCCCTGGAGCCGATTTCCACTCTGGGAGACACCATGTGAGTCATCAGAGCTGAGCGGTGCCCCACAGTTTTGTCTGAAAGCTGTTTACCAGGCCTTTCTACCAAGATGCTTCTTGCTGGTACCACCAAACCCGATTTTGGTTTCAAAATACCAAACCCGAACTCACTGCCATTGAATGGACTGAGTGCGTTCGAGTGGTGACCACACAGGGCAGGGTAAAACCCGCCCCTGCGGATAACCACCCAGGGCCTCCAAAAGCCTGTAAGCCAGTGGCTGTGACGCCAATTCCAACTCAGGAGGACCTCCACGGGTGCCAGGGCAGGGCTTTGCTCTCTAACAGTAGAGGCAGTCCCTGTCATCGGATGCATTCATGCCCACGTGTGCCAGTTATTGATAGGCTGCAACGGGAGAAGTCAGCACGGCTCTCTGTGGCTCCTGCCTCCCTGCCTTCTCCGGACAAGGTCTGTGCCCCGGGGGTGGGGAGTGGGGGCTGTGTATGCTCCTGGGATAGCACCCATTCACCAACCGCAGTTGCTCTGCAGGCATGCCGAGCAGAGGCAACGTCCACCCCAGGCTCATGCAGCCACCCCCCCCACCCCGTCTGTTAGACTCAGACCAAGATGAAGCCGCACTTTATTGAATGCTCTAAACAGTAAACACTTGAAGTGGGGAGGAGGGGGCGGAGGGGGCTTCTCGGGGAGAGTCCAGGGTTGGGGGTGGGAGGCCCCAGGCAGTTGGCCTGCTCAGAGGGCAGTGGATGCCCGGAATTTGTGGGTTAAACAGAACACGGACGCTGTTAGGGCCGTGCACTGACGGGCCAAGAGTTTTACACTCAGGTCCTGGTAGCCCCTCTCACAGGTCAGCTTCGCGGCCTCCACAAACTGGCAGTAGGTGTCGACCACGTCCCTCAGGTTGCCAGCTGCCTCCCTGTGCCGCACGGAGCAGCGGCTGCAGTCCGTGAGCTGGAAGCACAGGCCGGCCAGCTGCACCAGGTGCTGGAAGGTGGCACGCAAGGCGCCCTGCATCTCCTCGGGGGACTGGTCCAGTCTGATCACGCTCTGGCAGCTGGACAGCAGCTTCTGGGAGCCCATGCAGAGGCGGCTCCGGCTTTCGGAAAAGTGCCAGGTGCACTTCTCTGGGGGGTGCTTGTTCCCATCCCCCCAGGAAGCTTCTAGAATGTCCTGCAGCTCCAGCAGGCTCTCCGTGAGTTGGAGGAAGCCCTCAGGGGTGCTCCGGGGGGCAGCTTTCAGCTGCCTCAGGGCCCTGGAGCAGTACTCGGGCCACAGGTGGCTCTTCCTCCACCGGGGTTCGGTGCTGCAGCTGTGGGCCCGGGTGGGCCTCCAAGGTAGGGTCAGCTGGTTTCCCGCAGAGGGCGGGGAGGTGAGGGGTGCCGAGGGGCGAGCTTCCGTGTCCCTGTCCTCATCTTCCCTCTCGGGCTGCAGGCCACTGAAACACGTGGTATAGGAGAGCTGGCAGCTGCACTGTTCCATCCCAATCCTGGGAACCACGGCCTCGTCCATGCCTGCAAAGCCCAGAGACACGGCCACCCCAGGACTGACCGGGACCTCGGGGTGGCTTCCCGGCACAAAGCAGAGGAACGCCCTCTCGGCCGGAAGGCAGATGCTCGGGCTTTGGCCTTTGTTCTCCAACAGTGAGCAGTGGTGGGAGCCCTCTGGACAGGGCTTCTCTGGGGGGCCTGGCAATGGATCTGGTAGGGAAGGCTCTGGATTCACAGCCCCCTGCAGCAGAGGAGTGTCTGCAGGGGTGGTAGCCTCTCCTAGAGCCTGGTCGAGCAGCTCGGCCTTGACCCCCTTTGGAGGGAAGGCTGATGGAGCAGCCTGGTCTTCAAGCACGAGATCAGCATCTAAAGCCAACTCTGCCCGTAATTTTTGTTCTTGGGTCTGACAGGTTTGACCTGACATTTCTCTGCTTTGTCCTGGAGGCTCTCGGGCGGGGCGTGCTGGGCTTTGTTCAGTCTCTGTGACCAGAGCCTCCAAGGAGAGGAAGCCTCCTGGGTCGCCAGCGGGGGCTGTAACCCTGAGAACCTGCAGGACAGCATCAAACGCACCAGGGCCACCAGACTCCTTCCCAGAATCCTCCGGGCATACACGGGTGCCACTGTTGTTGGTAGCCTTTCGGTCCCTCTGCCCAGATGGTTGCCCTCGCCGCTGCTCCCCCTCTCCCGAGTCCAGACCACACTCCCCACTTTGCAGCTGGTCTCCAGGACACAGCGCAGCCTCTGGGTGTTCAGGGGTGGCCTCCTGCATGTGGTTTGTAAACAAAGATCCCAACCCTGTGTCCGCCTGGGCTACCCCCAGCTCCAGGGTGTCCCCCAGAGCGGCAGCAGGTGGCCCTGAGCTGAGGAACTGGGCATCCCTGTCTGGCGGGGGATCCCCACTGGAGGGGCCAGTGCTGTCCCCAAGTTCCATGAGCACGTCTTTGGGGGCACGGTCGTTCCAGCCTGGGAATGAAGAGAAGGTTTGAGAAGACCCCACCTGGGCAGTACCCGGGTCAGATGAACCTGGGTTGGGACCCGGAGGGACACCCGCTGGGGAATTAGCGACAGGAGCAGTGGGAGGGGCAAGCCCAGCATTTTCTCTCCGGGTGGGGTCGATCCGGAGGCGAATGGCAGAGATGGAGGTCACCCGAGAGTCCACGACCGACTTCGTTTCCATGGTCTCGGGCTCCATCTCCATGACCCCGGAGGCAGGGCTCTGGCTCGTGGCCTCCCTCAGCGGGGCCAGCAGCCCCAGGGCCTTGGTCTCCAGGAGGCCTGGCTCACCCTGCATGTCCTGCAGGGAGGACACAGTTGGGGAGGGGATACTGAGAGTCAGGTAGGGCTCCCGGTCATAGTAGCAGACGTCACCCACGCTCTCCAGGGAGATGGCAGGCACCATTGGGAAGGAGACCTGGGAGGTGTAGTCGGTCTGTAGGAAGGACCTTCTCTTCCGCAGCGTCTTGGCATACTTCTTTGTCCCTCCCCTCCTGCTCTGCTCTGGGCTGTCTGGCCGGAGGTCCGGGCTGCCTTTAGGGTTGCCAGTGCTCATTTCCACAGCAGAAATAGCTCTGGGCCCTGAGGATTGAGACCGGAAAACAAATGCAAACGTGAGATGTAAGAAAAAGAGTGCTGAGAGCCTGGGTTCAGCACTCAGGCTTGTCTGGTGGGCGGTGCAACGTTGGACAAGTTAAATTACGCTGAACGTGGAGCTACCCTGTTTCCCCGAAAATAAGACAGTGTCTTATATTAATTTTTGTTCCCAAAGATGCACTAAGTCTTATTTTCAGGGGATGTCTTCCATGAAGAAGAATACGGTATACATTTATTGCTTATTGCTTTATTAAAAGAGACCTCACACTTCCTGTCTGCTCCAGCTGCGCTGTGGCCAACAGTGAGCTTCGGCACCTGCTGCTATGGTCCAGAGTCCAGAGTGATGATGGTAGCTTCAGGGGGACTTATATTCGGAGAGGTCTTATTTTTTGGGGGATGCATTATATTTCAGTGAGAGGCAAAACTATAAGTAGGTCTTATTTCGGGGTATGTCTTACTTTCGGGGAAACAGGGTAGTCTGGAGGATCTCTGATCTAAGTGTTCAGTACCGCTAGCTACTGGTCTGACTTATGATCCAGCCAGCTGGCCACCTGGCCCTTAGCATATCAAACTTCAACATGCAGAGTAACTTCAGTCCTTCTTTCAAGAATTTTCTTTGTGCTTAAGTTAACCCGAGTCGCCCAGTACCAACTTGCCGATCGAGGCTGCCATGCACGTCAAATACACTCTCCCTCCCTTCGATGGGGTCCTTTCTGACTCAGAGTGACCCTACATGACAGGGAAGAACGGACCCCGCGGGCTTCCGCTCTCTGCAGGAATATGCAGCCGGGGAGGAGACAAGCCAGTCAGGGTGCAGTGTAGCAACCATGAAACATACAACTTTCCTCTAGTTCCTAAATGCTTGCTCCCCCCAACTATCATGATCCAAATTCTACCTTGCAAGTCTGGCTAGACCAGATGATGTACACTGGCACATTTAGGAACTGGAAGCACAGGGAATCCAGGGCGGATGATCCCTTCAGGACCAGTGGTATGAGTGGCAATACCGGGAGGGTGGGGAGAGGGTGGGGTGGAAAGGGGGAACCGATTACAAGGATCCACATGTGATCTCCTCCCTGGGGGAAGGACAAGAGAAAAGTGGGTGAAGGGAGACGTCGGACAGGGCAAGATATGACAAAATAATAATTTATAAATTATCTAGGGTTCATGAGGGAGCGGGGAGCGGGGAGGGAGGGGAAAAATGAGGACCTGATGCAGGGGGCTTAAGTGGAGAGCCAATGCTTTGAGAGTGATGAGGGCAATGAATGTACAAATGTGCTTTACACAATTGATGTGTGTATGGATTGTGATAAGAGTTGTATGAGCCCCTCATAAAACGATTAAAAAGAAAAGGAATAGATGCAGCCAAACACACCAACTTAAGAGTTTCTGCGTGTACCATTCAGGGGGACTCAGAAGCTGCCGGCAAATCTGCAGATCCACCTGTGGGGGGTGGGGGTGGCACTCACCTGCGAGGATGTCAGGGGGCGTGAGTTTGTCGGCAGCGTCATAGTATTCCTCATCAGAGCTGCCGTCCGCATAGGCCAGGGCCGGGTGTGGGCCCAGGGTGTCCAGCGTGGAGCCAGGCTGGGTCTCAGTCCAGCCTGGCTGTCCCCAGCTTGGCGGGGGACCCCCGTGGCGGGACGCCGAGCTCTCGGAGCTGTCGCTCCGGAGGCTGGCCGGGGAGACGCTGGAGCAGAGGCTGTAGTAGTCGGTCCGGCTGCCCTCGTACAGCCGGGGGTCCAGCCTGACACTGACAGCACCCAGCTCGGGGCCCCAGCAGAAGAGCTCAGGCACAGGGCTGCGGGCAAAGTCGGCCTTGGGGGCCTGAGGACTGGCTGTCTGGGCCAGGTCCAGGAGACACAGGAAGCCGCTGGTTTCGATCCTGTTTCTTTCCTCTGGGCTGTCGGGATCTAGCCTCTCTGGGAAGTCGGAGGAGCTGAAGTGGAAGAAGCCGGACCTACTGGAGGAACAGGCGTCCAGGTCGTCCTCCTCCAGAGCGTCCATGGACTCGCTCGAGCTCCTGCAGCCCCGGCTCTCGGTGTTGGCTGAGTCGGATGCCTCTGACTCCACACTGTCCGTCACGCTGCTGGCCGCACACGTGCTGGGGCCGCTCCTGGCCACCTCAGGTGTGGCACAGTCCCCAGGAGGCTCCTCCTCGTTCACGACAGACCTGCAGGAGGCCGGCTTTCCCGGGCGCCTGTCCGACAGAGGCTCCAGGACACAGTCCATTTCAGAGGACTCCTCTGAGTCACTGCAGGCCCTGGACTCGTAGCCTGTAACACAGGGGACACTGAGTGTCACAGAACCGCACGAGGGGCCGGCTGATCCCTGTGTGTCCTCCCGAGCCCACCCGCCCGCTCCCCAGAGGTCCATCAGCCAAGGGCACCCACATCAGAGCCATGCCCGTTCCCACGACAGGTCTGTGGGAAGAGTCCAGCCAAAGCCTTCTCCCCCGTCTGCCCCAGGCCCTCCAAACAGGCCTGGCCTCAAATTCCTATATGAAGAGATTAGAAAGGGCAGCATACAACAGTTATCTGGTCGCTGGTCTCTCTCCACACGGGCTCATCAGATAATCACACCGCCCGGCATGGATAACCGATGAAGGCTTATCACCCCCGTTTTCCAGATGAGAAGACTGAGCTCCACACCTGTTAGTGGTTCTAGATCTTGCAGGTCTGCCCAGCACAGGGCCTGCAGGACTCAGAATCCCATGCCCTCCTCCTCATCACTCCAAGCCACTTTTCCAGCCTCTTCCCGGGGGTGGGGAACACCTGGTCCTCGGGCCACACAAGGCCCAAGAGATCATGGAGAATGCGCTAACATCTCGTGCCCCGCTAAAGAGAAGCGGTGGGTTAATGAAATGTTTGATCGGTATGATTAGACTTGAGTAATGTTAGACATATCCAAATGGCCCTTGGCAGAAAAAAAAAAGGCTCCCCAACCCTGCTTTATAGGTTCCCCAAATTATTTGGTCTACCACCCACTTTTCGGAAAAAGAAAAAAAATTACTCAGCACCTCACCGGCAACTAGAAACTTTTGTATCACAGCCCGCTCTCACGGCCATCCAGTCAATACTGACCCCTAGCCAGCCTCTAGGACAGGGTCGAACTGCCCCATGACCTTCCGAGACGGTAACTGTTTAGGGAGAAGAAAACCTTGTCTTTCCCCGGAGGAGCTGCTGGTGGTTTGGAACAGCCGACCTCTCAGGTCAACCCAGCATGACCCAGAGCCAAGGACAAAGTGTTCGCATCTGCTTTCGCAGCCCCCAGGGGGCGATATCACCCACGTTGGAGACACTGCTCCACATGCGTGGCCCACGCACGGAGAGAGAATTGTCTCTATGCCTCCCTGCAGGGAGACCCCCTGGTTCTGGGAGACAGTGGACCGTCCGCTGTATTTCACTGTGCTGTGGGCAGCATCACCGCTGTGTGGCTCCAACTGCCAAAGCGAGCCCCCCAGATGTCCTTCACCTTGCCTCCTCTGCGTCAGGAGATGTCTCCTCCCGTCCTGGTCTGGTTACTCCCAGCATGTTCTCTAAGATTTATTAAAGACCGTCCCTGGAGACCCTTCTCTGACTCAGTGTCGATTTCCATGCCAGTTCTGATGGTCTCATTCCACTTTAGTTTTTCTGGTTTTTTTTTTAATTCCACTTTAATTATTGGAAAGTTAATCCTTTCTTTTGTTTTCCTTTTAAGAAAATTTATTTTCTACCCTTATTCCAAAGAAATCACTTTGTCAAATTAAAACAATAACCGTAAACGCTCATTAGGATTTCAATTAGTATAGCATAACATTTTATAAACGAGTATGGGAGCTGTAATGGTACAATATTAACACTCCCAACCCTAAACGCCACAGAAGATATCATTGTATTTTAAAATAGTTTCCATTTTAAACCATTTTCCATTTATTTAAAACAGAAATATGAACATTGTTACCTAAAATGATTAAAAGTTCAATATTTCAGCAGTTAAAAGAAGATATGCAAATATCTTCAGTCACGTTGTTTTCCCATTTGTTAAGATCTTTTATATCTCTTAGTAAAACGGATTTTTCTTCAAATAAGCCCTGTTCATTCCTCTACTCTGGATATAGTTCCTGTATATAAATGTCAAAAAAACATTTTCTCCATTCTGTTTTCCAACTTTTTCCCCTAACATATTTTGGATGGGCTACATTGAAGCTGTTGATTTTGTTTAAACATTTTATTAGGGGCTCATACAACTGTTATCGCAATCCATACACACATCAATTGTGTAAAGCACATTTGTACATCATTCTCAAAACATTTTCTCTCCACTCAAACCCCCGACATCAGGTCCTCATTTTCCCCCTCCCTCCCCGCTCCCCCGTTAAGCACTTATTTTACACACACGTATTCCTGATACCTTTTTAGTATTCACAGGTTTTCAGTTAGTATCTCGAGCTTTCCAGGTAAACAAGGCCGTCACACGAATAGTTAAAATTTTATACCCTCTGTTCTATTTCAGCGATTACTTTTCTTTCTTTCCCATATCATATTATATAGGCTAGAACTGTATGTTATACTAATTTGACAGTGGGAAGTCTTATTTCTGATTTTAATGGGAATAGCTCTATTATTCCATTAGTGTAATGTTGGCTGCTTGCTTCACATACATATATGTTTGATCTTAAGAAATATTCTCCCATTTCTGGTTTAAAAATCAGAAATATGTGTTGAATTTTATCAATCCTTTGGTATCTATAATAAGCGTTCTTTTTCAAGTTGATCTCTTAATATAATGGATGGATTCTCCGATATTAATATATTCTTAGATTCCTAGCATCAAGTAAGCAATAAAATAAAATAAAAAACTAAACAAAAAACAACCAGCAAAGATTTAGAGGATCAAAAAATGTGAACTAATAAGGTGACTTGTAAAGCTGAATGGAGAAATGTATACCCTATACATGACACTACAATTTTGACTACTAAAGTGGGTGGATTATAAACCACGCCACAACGATGGTCATGATAGACTTCAAAATTCAGAAACAGAAGTTCAGTTCAGAGTATAATGAAACAAAAAATAATGGATATATAAACCTACCTTCATTTTACATATTACGCTTTTTCAGTACTCCTAGATTCAGTTTGAAAGTACTAGTGCCTTATCTTTATAAGGGAGATTAGATTGCGTTTTGATGCTTTTCTGTGCTGTCAGGGTCATATCACCTACACAGAAAGAATCTGGAGAGCTCTGGATGACCTGCCGGGTTCAGGGATGCTTCCAGCAGCATCGCTTCTTGAGAGGATTCACCTGTAAAACCATCAGGCTGCGGTGTCCCTTTTAGACGGACTCTGTCAGTTTTCATTTTTCCCGTGTTGTTGGTCTGTTTGGCATGCTCACTAGACGTGCATCTCTTTTGTCCAGACTGTCCGTTTCATCACTATAAACTGTCTACCATATTCTCTTAAATTTTAAGAGAAAGTGATTTAAAACACTCAAACAAGCCCGTCACATGATTTGGTCACCTGCAAGTTTATAGGATTTAAGCTTATAAGTGGCCACGTACCATTTATTTAAAACAATGGTGACCCAGTCAGACACAGTCAGCCTCACGGATCTGTCCCTGAGAAGAACTCTAAGAATCGATCAGTATAGGAAGAGCTCTACCCTTATGATGTCTGTTTGGTCTACTACTTGCCTTCACTAGACTTTTCAAACATTTACTTCAACTCTGCACCTCTACCCTGGGAGACCAGGAGAAGGAACTTTCCTAAGTGTCACAGAAGCAGAGCCAGAAGGCTCGCTAGAAATAAGGATGGCAAGACTCTGCCGCATGTAGTCTGGACATGTTATGAGAAGGAACAGCTTCCTGAAGGAAATCTTACTATAGTCGAGGATCAATGAACAAGAGGGAGACCCTCAGTGAGATGGACGGACGCTGTGGCCACACGGGGCAGCAACGTGAGGCGGGCAGAGGACCGGCGGTCCTTGGTTCTGTTGAGCACAGGGCTGCTGTCAGTCAGGGCGGACCTGATGACACCCAACAGCAACAGTAATAATGAACTCAGTCCAGCTTTCAGCTTTTAGATGGTTTTTCTTAGATTGCCTTATTACCTTTTTTTATTGACATGCTTGATTGACTTTGTTTTCATTTTCTTGTTTAATAATGAAATAAACATTCCTCTGAGTCCACCTTTGCCCAATCTCACAAAATGTAAATTATTGAAACACACACACACACAAAGAACCACTTTAACTGAAAGGATGATCACTTTTCACCCATTACCACCTACCTGTCCAGTGATCTAGAGAAGCGGGTCCTGGGATGAAGGCAAAACTCCCGGGTATCGATGAAGCAGCCTCCTTTCAGTTCACACAAGTATCAAAATCCCTGGAATCTTTCTAGCTTATTATTAAACGTGGCCACTTAAAAGCTTAAAACCTATAAACTTGCAGGTGACTAAATCATGTTACAAACAAAGGTAACAGAACTCAAAGGGCACGCCTCCCTGATCATTACACTATCACCTGTGCTCTTGAGGTGATCTGCTTGACCACCATGGAGGAAATGGTACAGAGCAGGCTGCCGATTAGCCCCTCGATGTCATGGTCAGTGCTAGCCCATCGGTAGCTTGGCATTAGCCATGGTGGGAGGGCTTATCCCACAGAAAGAGCCGATCGCTTCAAATGGGGACTGTTCATTCCTGCAGAGGTGGCTGTACACAGTGACGGGCATACCCCTGGAAATCGCCTGCACAAATACCGCTGCGGCAAAAATGATTGACACAGGAGTTGGCCCCTCTGCCTGCATTCCATGTCTTCGGTCCTTATATGATTTCCGGTACCTTCTACTCTCAGGTGCCTGCGTTCTCCAGACAGGTTAAGATGGAGAATTTCCATCTTGCTTCAAGATGACACACAAAATAAAAGAGCATCTAGGCACAGAGGACGCAGAAAGGTCATTTGTATTTTCTGAACACGTGATGTCGCTTTTTGCGGGGACACTGTGATAAAAACACAATGGCTCTCAGAGATGGGCTTAGGACACGTGACAGGCAGTCAGGGACCTTCAACTGTAGTGCCTGGCTGTAAGAGACTCTGTCTGAGATATAAGGGAGACTTCCTCAGTCCCACTCATTTAAGAGCGATCAACGGTTTACTGAAAAATAAATGACTAGCCCATAGCCACTTATAGCGAATGTCTTCGAAGTCTCAACTCGGCTCCGTTCGGAGCCTCTTTCAGGCTGCCCTTACCCACCAAGCCAGTGAAATGGGCCCGTCCTCGCGGGGGCTGGACTCCGCACCTCACCTTCTTCAGCAGACACGCGGTGCCCTTGCTGCCGGGTTCCAGGCCACAGGAAAACGGAGGCCCCTGAGTCCACAAACAGCCTGTAGTACCCAGCTATCAGGCAGGCGAGGTCTTTTGCACTGTTAGATTCCAGCAACAACGTCAGAACCTTTGAAGGTAAAGCAAGATCTTGTATCTATAAAAGGTTGAGACAATCCGAAAACTGACAACAAGGTCAGGTCGAGTCAGTGACAGGTTTCAAATGCACCTGCACCTGGTCTATGTCTGTCTGTCTGTCTGTCTCAGGCACACACTTCCTCCCATCTACTTCCTACGAGTTTCCTCTGCCACCCTGTACTCCCACCACCATTCCCACCACTCAATCCAACCCTGTTCATTGTACATTGCCCCCCACCCTCCAGATCAGACCGCAAAAAGCAAAAACAGCAAGTGGAGGATACGGGCCAGGGTGGCGATAAGAATAAAACACCATTTCTGGGCGTGTTGGAGCTTGATTGAAAGGGGTCAGATCCCCCTCCCCATTTCCTCCTTGCCAGCCCGTTTGCCATGGCCTGGTGGGGACAGTCTGAAACAGGGGGAGCAAAAGTTTGTGTCTGGGTCTGGTTACTGTCCTCCCCGGGGTGACTGTTCTAGAGTGGCCTCAGGATAGGCGGGAGCCACACCATCTCTGCACCCCAGTAAAAGTGACCCCTGCAGTCTCGGCTGGGAGAGGGTGGCACTGTGTGATGCTCAGGCATCTCCCCATCCCAAAGGCGGCCTGATGGGAGCAGGCGGGGGTCCTTGCTCTGCCCTCCCGCAGGGAGGGGAGCCATGCTAAGATGCCAACCTCAGGGACTTGGGTTGGGTTCTTTTGATCCTGAGAGCTGTTCTGAGAGCAGAGGACAACATGGGGCATTGTCAATAACCAATTCTGAGTCTCAAAAAAAAAAAAAGAAAGGGGTCAGATCAATGCAGGACCTTTCAGAAGGCCCCCCCCCCCACACACACACCATTCAGCTAGCCTGTGGCCACACCTCTGATAAAACCCTTCTGCTGCTCCCATCAGTTTCTGAACCCAATCGGACCGTCCCCATCAGGGGAGCGCACGGTCCAGCTTAGTGCCTACGGGAACCCTTTCGGGGCTTGCCCAGGAAAATGCCCCCAGCAGAGAAAGCTTGTCTTCTTTGGGGACAGGAGGGACCATCTGTCTTTTTATACAAATGCTGGACATTAGTTTTCAAGGTTACTGGGGAAAAAAACCATATCACAGCAACGTTTCCACACTGATTTAGCTCCCAATTCTAGAAGCTAGATCAGAGCCTCTCCCGTTGTGTTACCTTGATGTCCTGAAGGTACACCTTGACCATGCTCACTTTCTCAGACTCCTCCGTGAGTTCTATGCGGCTGATGTTCGAAAACTCGGCCAACGTGGACATGATATTGAGCTTACTATTGATAATTTGGCTAATCCCATACTTGGCTCCAACTAGTAGGGCAATGTAGGATTCTCTGTCCTGTAACTGCAGAAGGGGGGAGGGGAAGGGGGTTAGTTTTCATTCATATGCTAGGATGGGGCGGTCTGGTTTGTGTTGTGAGTTACCCAGCCTCATCCTCAGCTTCTCTGAAGGGGAGACTCACATCTGATGCAGCTAGACCATGGCCAGGCCCCACGTGAGAGCCTGAGAAACGCTCCTCCGTGTCTCACTAACTTGTTTCTCAAATAAATCCCAGTCCCCTCAGAAATGTGAGGCTTAAAGTATAAATTGATTTTCAGAGGACCTCAAGGGTCCCCAGTCACTGGAAGACTTAACAGTTCTCTAATACCTACCATTAGAGTCGCATTAAAGACCTTCCCACCGTACGTCTTGAGCTCTCCAAGGATTTGTAGGTAATTTAAGCGTAGCTGGGCAGCAGAAATAAGTTGCTTACATAGAAAACAAAAAAAAAGATGGTTGAAACCAGTTATTCATGGCCTGGGCAACAAAAATGTTCCCTGGGGCTTTGCAGTTGACCGCCTGTGTTACCTTCTGTCGGGGTTCTAGCAAATGCTGGTTCCTCTTCATGTGGAAGCTGATGGCTTTCTTGATGTCTTTCCCGTTCATGTTTCGGAGTAAAGTTGGCGATATGAAGTTCTCTATGCCCCAGTCTTTCCTGCGTGGGACAATGTTCACCGTGTACTTGGCTTTCACAAAGAACATAATCACACTTGATTCAGTACTTAGTGTTCCCACGAGGCTGCAATTATAAGCCTCTTCCTCCAGCGAAGGAAAAAAAAAGTACCTATGTGTGTGTGCATATATGTATTGTGTATGTATAGCTGCACAATGCTCACATACATATATACACATGTGCCACAAAATCCTCCTCAGCCCTGCATTCACCATGTTGAAAGCTCATTGCTCTCAGTCCCTTGTGAGCAGCTCAGAGTCATTTTTTTTTTTCTTTTTTAACATTTTATTAGGGGCTCATACAACTGTTATCCCAATCCATACACACATCAATTGTGTAAAGCGCATTTGTACATCGTTTCTCAAAACATTTTCTCTCCATTTAAACCCCCGACATTAGGTCCTCATTTTTCCCCTCCCTCCCCGCTCCCCCCTCCCGCATGAGCCCTTGATAGTTTATAAATGGGTATTTTGTCATATCTTGCCCTGTCCAACGTCTCCCTTCATCCACTTTTTGGTTGTCTGTCCCCCAGGGAGGAGGTCACACACAGTTCCATGTAATCGGTTCCCTCTTTCCTACCCATTCTCCCTTTACCCTCCCTGTTTCGCCACTCACACCACTGGTCCTATAGGGCTCATCCGTCCTGGATTCCCTGTATTTTCAGTTCCTATCTGTACCAGTGTACCTCCTCTGGTCTAGCCAGTCTTGCAAGATAGAATTCGAGTCATGGTAGTGGGAGCGGGGAGGAAACCTTTAGGAACTAGAGGAAGGTTGTATTTCTCATCATTGTTACGGAGTCATTTTTTGACACCAGATTATGTCTAACAGTGATTGGAGAGACAACAGCACTAATGGGTCCCCAAAGCTAGGCTTCTGAATGGTGTCACCTAGCACTCCCTAGCGTCTTCAAAAACTTGTGACTAAGTCCAATCCCCTAGTCCTGCTCCCTGGAGACTGGCTCGGTCAGGGAGAGGCCAAGGGTCTGCTTTCCGTGTGAAGGATTCTGCTGAATGATTTTGCTGTCCACATGGGGCAGAACTAATCTTTGGTGGGAAGGTTAGCAGACATAGGTGCTGCAGACCAGAGCAAGGAGAAACTCTAAGCTGAGAATCAAGAGGGGCTGGAACCCTAGGACCGGAAACGGTCTCCGTGAGGCGGTGTCATAGGAATTGGCTCACACTACTTGGAAAGGTGAATCACCAAGGCATTCCTACCCTTGGAAGGGTTTAACATGCAAGTTGATTCTGATTTTCCAAGATAGGTGCCCAAACCCTGGAGGTTTACCAGGGGTGTCCTGTGGTCTCACAAGGGACCACCAGGTACTAACATCAGTCATTCCCAGCAGGGGAGGGAACAGAGAGGACTGGACAGAAAGACAACAGACGGATGGGTGGACTGTGGCATCATCAGGAGGGTGTAGAGCACACTGGGGGACACCCAGTGATACCAAAACAATTGTCAAGATTTATGCCCAGTGTTTAAGCAGAGACGGATGATCTTAAAAACAAAAATCGTCCTGTAGTTAGTTATCAAAAACATTTTTCTAAGTCCAGCATACATACAAACCTAAAAGGTAAACCTCTCTGTTAATCTACTCTTTGAACCTTTTAACCCTCTGGAGCCCTGCTGGTGTAGTGGTGATGTGCTGGGCTGTGATCTGAATGGTCGGCAGTTCGAAACCACCAGCAGCTCCTTGGGAGAAAGACTGGGCTTTCTACTCCTGTAAACAGTTACAGTCTCAGAAACCCACAGGGGGTGCTCACTACAAGCCAGCACTGACTCGATGAATATGCTCTCTGATCAGAGCTGGCAGTGACCCTTTGGATCACGTGGTTTCCTCCACCTTCACCACACGCGCGTGCAGTGGTTTTCATCCTGGCTGGTGTTTTCGCAGTCACAGATTGGGTGGAGTTAATATTGCACATATTGGGCTGCTGACCCTAACGGTCAGTAGTGCAAACGCACCAGCCACTCCATGGGAGAACGGCAAAGCTTTCTGCTCCTGTTCATAGGCACAGCGTTAGAAACCCACAGAGGCAGCTCCACCTGTCCCCAGGGTCACCGTGTGTCAGAGTCAACTACATGGTAGCAAGTGAGAGTCCAGCAGCTTTTCTCGAGGTTCACCTACGAGATTGTAATAATGAGTACTTATGAACCTGTGTTAGTGAATTTTTGAGAATCAAGTACAATTAAAGGAAAGAGGAAAAATTTTAAAGGCTTTTGCTTAGTTACTAATAAAGAATGTTGTAACTAGTAATGCTATCATTCAAGGTAGAAAGATTTAGTGTTCTGAGGACCTAGTGCCCGGGGCTTGAGTGGAGAGGAAATGTTTTGAGAATGATGACGGCAATGAATGTACAAATGCGCTTTATACAATTGATGTATGTATGGATTGTGGTAAGAGCTGTATGAGCCCCTAATAAAATTATTTTAAAAAATATATAGAAAAGATTAAAAAAAAGATTTAGTGTTCATATAATCTAAAAACATTACAGTAAATAATTTATAATGATATTTATCACATACCAGTCTATAATTAAGGAACCCTGGTGGCATAGTGCTTATGCATTGGGCTGCTAACCACAAGGTCAGTAGTTCAAAACCACCAGCTACTCCTTGGGAGAAAGATGAGTCTCTTTGCTCCGGTAAAGAATTACAGTCTCAGAACCCCACAGGGGCAGTTTACCCAGTCCTATGGGGTCATTTATAAGTTGAGTTTGGTTTGGGGTTTGAATTCTATGGTTAGGATTGATCAGACACATTACTAAGGGTTTGGAATGGGAGGAGGTCTATCAGGGGCCGGAGGCAGCATGAGTCACCACCCTGGGATGCCACTGTGGGTAAGTGGGCAGCTCTCAGCTTCTGTGGAATCTAGCCCTTCTGGCCAGGGGCCAGCAAAGCTAGACATGCTGGTACAGCCACTCACTCGATGTACTTCAAAGAGATCTTCTGGGGCTGGGCACACGCATAGATCCGCTCCTGGATGTGCAGGGCCGCCAGTCGGAGCGCGGAGCTGCATTTCATCTCCATGGCGAAGCGCTCCTGGAGCACATCGCTGCAGCTCTAGGAGAGACCAGAGGGCGCGGTTGGGAAGCAGGCCGGCCCCACTGTGCTCCCTTCGACGCCGGCTTAGTGTGTCCGTGCCTGAGTGACCCTGGTGCAGTTACCGAGACTCTCTTGAGCATTGGCCTAGGTCAATACAAAACCTACCTTACACAGCGGCTACGAGTTTAAAGTTGAAATGTGTGTATGAAATCGTGCTTACACACACGTTGGGCTGCTAACTGCAAGGTCAGCAGTTCAACCCCCCCCAGCTGCTCCTCAGGCTTTCTTCTAATGAGTTAGCAGTCTCAGAAACCCCCAGGGCAGCTCCACCCTGTCCTATAAGGGCACAGTGAGTGGGAATCGACTCGATGGAGTGAGTTTGGTTTGAGAGTATCTGAAAGTATCGGAGCGCAGGCGGCACCAGGGTTACCCTTGACTGCTAACTGAAAGGCCAGCAGTTTGAATCCACAAGCAGTTCCACAGGAGAGAAGACCTGGCAGTCAGTTCCCGTAAGGAGTGTAGCTTAGAAAACCCTGTTGCTCACCTGGACTGTGTCCCATCGAGTCACTGTGACTCGGGATCCACGTCCTGGCACATCACGAGAGCAGTAAGAGCAGAATCACACAGGCTGAAATGCTGCCACGACGGTTACTTACCGTCACCATTTCAACAAGACTTTATGGAGTCGATTCATAGAGCTCGATTTTGGTTTTCCCCATCAAGGAAACGGTGACATGAAAGGAGGAGGTGAGGACCGGGCAGTGTTGCGTTCTGTCGGACACTGTGGTGAGGAGTCGAATCTGACTCCATGTCACCGAACAGAAATGGTAATGCCTGACTGATGAAAGCAGCTCAGGTAAGCAGTGGACTACTAACTGCAAGGTTGGCTGTTTGAACCCCCCAGCCGCTCCACAGAGGAAAGAGGAGGCTACCTTTCCGTGGAGGTGGAGCGCCGCGGACACCATCTGGAAGTCAGAACGGACCTGGTGGCAGTGGGTGTGGTCAGGGTGGGACTTACGCTGTTCCCCACTTTAGAGTACGGCTACGGATTGGAGAACTGATTTTTGGCTCCTCAGCTAAAGGAGTGATATAAGCAAATCATAGCACCTTTCTAAGACCCCATCTATCATCCCTAATATGAGGCCTTTCAGCTCAAAAGCCCCCTTTAACAGTAAAAGCCAAAATTCTAAAGATCCTAAAAAAGGCATTAGAAAATGTATCGTCTACACTGAGCACTAAACCTAAACTTCATGATTATTTTGCAAATCTCCAACACAGCAACTCAGGGATGGACAAGGGAATGCTAAGGGAGAAAGGTCATTAATTCCAGGAATAGCTTAATTGGCTTGAGCTCTCATTCGGAGTAAGCCCGCGTGCCTGCTTTGAGACTAGCCACTGTTCTATTAGGAAGCACAGAGCAGTCACCTGCAGGTAGAGGTATTCAAAGGCCACAGGGTCTTCCTTCAGGAGGTCCAGAGGGTCCTTGGGAACGAAACATACCCTGAAGAGGCAGCGGCAGTCATGTGACTCTTCCCTTTCCACCACCTGCGATGGGTAAGGGAGAGAGGCCATTAATCTTCTAACTGCCTCTGTCCCTGGCAGTTATTCTAGGATACAGCTTGAAATATCAAAAGACAGAGGGAGACCCTATAGATATCAAACTGTGTGCCTTTCAAGAGCCGTCCGCCTTTGCTCTAAGTCTGATGCTCTCCTCCAAGGGCATGAGATGTGAAAGTTCAGAAGGGAACAGGCTCCCTCAGAGCCCATCTCCCAGGCCACACACACAACCCCCACCTCCTTGTACCCGCCTCCATTCCCAAGGAAACCCATTCCTTCCTGCGAGTTCCTCCCGAGACAGCCTTTAGTTCCTTTAATAACTGTCAGACTATTTCAACATCCTCTTCTTCGAGGCCCGACACTTTACCAAACAAGAGGTCCTTTTCAGGAACCATTCTTGCCTGACACCAGGTCCTGAGGGTGGAAGACAAAGTCTCCCCTCCCTGCCTCTAAGGCGCCTCTGGCCGGCCCCCTTCCCAATGCGCTTGTTCGTTAGGCTTCCACGGCACCGTACACGTTCTTCCCCGCCACCCTCACTGCAGCGCACGGATGGTGCTGCTTCAGCCTCCTGTACCCCATGTCCAGCTTGGTCAAGTAGCACGGCAGCGTCAAGGAGGAAGATCCTCCCCACAAGATGGACGGACGCCGTGGCCGCATCGATGGGCTCACCCAGAAGGACAGTTGTGAGGATGGTACAGACCCGGGCAGTGTCTCGGGGTGTGGTGCATAAGCTCGCTACCAGTTGGCATGAACTCAATGGCACCTCACGATGCCGACAGTGTGATTCAATTCTCTTTTCCAGTTCTAGCGGAATCGATGTGGTTTTCATTTCAAAAAATCTAGCCCCAGGGTTAGAAATTGGCGAGTGGACTCAGAAGCCATCTCTCAGGAGGGCGGCTCAGGGTGGGCTTGTCTTGTCTTCTTTCACGTCGTCCCTGTGTACCCAGCCCCTGCCCCCAACTGCCTGCTGAGATCCTACTCATCCTCGCAAGAGTGAGCCCGCACCAAGCTTCACTGCACCGACTGGTGCTGGGCTTTCAAAAGTTGGTTCCTGTTGGGAGCCGGTGACCATTAAGGCCTTAGCCTCAGCCACGGAGCCGAACTTGGCTGCTTCCTGGTTGTTAAGTTTCGTCTTTCATTTGCTAAACCTGTGGGGGACTGGCCCTGCCTAATTCCTGCCCAACCCTACCTCCATGTTCCTAGCTCCGTGCTCTGTAGCACGGGCGGTTGTAAGAGTTGACCTTTTCACCCATTGGTTAATAATGCCGAGCGCTCATTGGACTAAGATGGACTTTGCATTACGCCTGATGAACCTTAGTCTGCATGCAGGACGTCTTTGAGAACTAGTGCGCGCCTTTTTACCTGCAGATGATTGGTTAACGTTCTTATACTTCATTAATGTACATGTTGGACTGGATGTTGTGTAGCACACCTTATTAAAATATGCACCTCCCAGTTCCCCTTTTTTATACCCCAGCTTTGCCCAAATAAAGGAGTTTGATCAGCGTTCTGTCTTGCTCCACGTCCCCGTGTCTTTTCTTCCATCCAGGTCCGCCTTTCCCTGCAGGGCCCTGCTCGTGCGTCCTGCAGGCCGGGACGCTACAGGTTCTAAAAAATGACCCATGCTCGAAAAGACTGCGCGGTAAAGACTCACGGGTTCTGTCTGCTCTGCCCTGCCAGCAGGACCAGTGCAGAAGGGAGGCCTGGACCCAGAACCAACTGCTTCCCGAACTTCTCAAAGCCCCCAGCACTGGAGACAAGTGCCCCAAGGACGGGGATGTAAGCGCTCGCTCTGTAAGCTCACACCGTGTCCTGTCTGCCACAAGGCAGCAGAGGAACCCCAGGCCGATGGTCATCCTCTCAGGCCCGGGCTGAGAATGCACTGTACCCCCTGCAGCACAAGGAAGCCCATCCCTTACTGCGGCACCCAGAGCCTGCCCCCGGGAGATGGCCGCCCTTACCTGCTGGACGAGCTCCTCCTCATGCAGCAGGTGCAGCCGGGAGATGCTGTACTGCTCCTCCAGCACCAGAGCAAAGTAATCGATGCTTCGGATGGACAGCTTCTCCTTCACCGTGAGGAGGATGTCCTACGGGGACACCGAGGCCCGGGGTCAGCCCAACTGCTCTGAGAAGCAGGCGGCTTTCCTGCTCAGGCACCACACAGGATTTCCTGGCGCTTCACCCTGTCCCCCTGTGCATCCGGGGAGAGACACGTCACTGCTGGCCAAGGCCCCTGCTCAGCCAGGCAGCCTAGTCTCGGGGGGCTTGTCTCTTCTCTTTCCTACACTCTCTTACGGCAGAACACACACGCAGCCGTGGTTGACGAAAACAACAGTGAGTAATAGTGAAGGAAATATAAGGAGCCCTGGGCCAGAGGAACTCGGGGACAACCATGTGTAGATAAAGTGGCCAGAGAAGGCCTGTCTGAAGAGGCCTCTTATTCTGAGATTTGAAGGAAGAGAAAGAAGGTGTCTGGTGAAGAGTAATGGACAGTGTGGGGTTCCGGGGGGTGGGAGTGGGGGCCAGGGAGCATGTCTGGTTGCCCTGCAGCAGCAAAGACATCATGTGGGCTCAACTCTCACTGCCACTGTATCGATGCTCACTCACCGTGACCCTGCATGTGGGTTTCCAAGGCCGTAACTCTTTTAGGGAGTAGAAAGCCCCCTGCTCCCACCAGCATCTGTCCAGACCCTTGTCTGGTGTCCATGGAAGGAAACAGACTGCTCTCTACCTTTCTCCACGCCCGCTTTTGATGGCTCTTCTTTCATCCTGCCCAGATGGCTGGGCACACCCTGAAGGTCCGCCCTCCCCTAACAAGACTGCGAGCTCCCTGAGGAAAAGAGCGCTGTTGCCTGGCTCTGTTCCCCACCCAGGGTATCTCAGGAGAGGGGCACCTCGTCAGCTGGGCTGAGCTCCATGCAGCACAGAACTTGGGCCTCCTGTGACACTCCGCCTGGCTTGCGGGTAGCTCTACTCTTTTGAGTAGCAGGGGGACCGACGTCCACTAGAGAGGCAGGAAGTCCAGCTGTTCGAGGGAGCTCGAGGTAATGGTCAGATGATGCTGGACAAGTCGCTTCACCTCTCTGAGCCTCAATTTCCTCTCAGGTAAGATGGTGATAAAAATATGGTGCAACGAACTAAGGCAACACAGGGCTCGGCTGATCGCAGGTGCTCAGATCCGGGTGACCGCAGACCCGAAGAGCAGACACAGAGCAAGACGCCTGCTGGTCCTGAGAGCCAGCAAACTCCGACTGGGAAAGAGAGGACGAGTTTGCACTTCATACCTTGACAGTTGTGTTTGCCTCAAACTTGAACGCTTTGGTCTGTCCATTCTCCAAGTACAGCTTGAGTACGTTGGGCATGCACAGCAGAGAATTGCCCTGGGAGACACAAGCGTTGTATTAAAATCCGCCCTTCTTGCCCTTGGTTGTGAGAAATGCCCAGCCAGCCCAGGGCTGCCTGTCTGGAGAGCAGAGCTCTCCTCTCGTCACCTCACCTCACCACGGCAAGGGTGGATGTGGGGCAGCTCAGGATTTCTGCAGTGGGCTCAGACTATGCCACACAGAGAAAGGCACCCTTTGCCAACTGACACGAGACCTGTCAGACCCTGTCAGACGTAACAGATGGCGGAGTAGAGTGAGCCCTGACTCGGACTGGCATTCCCTGCTGGCTGCCACCCTTGCAGGATACAATATGGCAAATAAGATGGCAGGCATGTCCACTGTCCAAAATCGGCTCACGTGTGGCCTGGGGAGCTTGCTCAGAGACTCTATGTTTCATGGCCACATTCCGTGTTGAGAGGCACCCAAGGGGCAGAGCCTTGCTCCCTGCTTCCACTCACCCCTCCCATCACCCCTGGACTGGTGAGTTCTCCTAAGGGGCTCTGCTGCTCTTGAAAGGGCTCTTTGGGAAGGAGACACAGGAGTGGTCCAGGTTCGCTGACTTCGTGCCAGCCCAAACTCCTGGAGTGGAGTAGGGCAGTGGAGAATTACCTTTGGGTTTCAAGAATGCCCCCGCCCCGCCAGGGTCTGCTTTCTTAAAGAGCTGAATGTCCAGCTGTAAGCACAGAGGGCCTGCAGGGCCAGCGGTCTGCAAAGCCGGTGAGGGAGTCTAGAGGCCTGTAGATTCGAGCTAGAACTTTCCCTAGCAGGTGTCTCTGCAGTTAGGGAAGAAGGCCCACCCAGGTAAAGAGGTGTGTAGTCTTTTAACAAAACCTGACAGCCTTTCAGAAAGGAATCTGGACTCTTCTAAATACAAGGGCCCTTATATCTTCTAAACAAGACACTCACCAAGCACCATCTGATCACTTCCTGTTTTTTTAACACCACAGTATTTTCCAAAGAAGAAGGGCTATGTTCACACTCCAGAGCCCTTTAATCCCCAGTCCAGGATGGAGGATTTCAAACTGTTCACGTGGTTACCATTCTACCTCTTTCGCGTCAGGCATTTAGAAATCTTACCCTTTAGATTTCCAAGAGGGAACTATCTGCTGCCACCCTTTCATACAGTTCCTCATGTTGTGGTGACCCCAACCATAACATTATTTCCGTTGCTACTTCATCACTGTAATTTTGCTACTGTTATGGATTGGGCGGCCCCTGTGAAAGGGTCCTTCAACCCCCAAAGGGGTCTCGACCCACAGGTTGAGAACCGCTGAGTTGTAGTCTCACAGACCCACAGGGGCAGTTCTTTCTCCCCTATCTTACAGGGTTGCTATGAGTCGGCAACGATTCAAGGGCAGCGAGTGGGGTTTTTTTTGCTGTTGACGACATAGATTCAGTTCAAGCCTAAACAAGCTCAGAGTTGTAAAGGCAGGTTGACCCCTGGAGTCTGTCAACCTGACAGCAGAGGGAGCTGCTCACACGCACACCCGGGGCTCCTCTCCCGAGTCACCACCAGGAGGCAGTTCCCGCCCGGCTCCGCCCTGGGGACTGGGACACACCTGGCTGTGGCCGCTGACGCTGAGGACTTCCTCGGCAAAGTGCACCTTCACAGGGTTCGTCTTCAGCCTGGCTCTCTTTTCCTCCGTCAGAAAGGACGACTTGGGAAGTCCCTGCAAAACATGCAACACGGCACACTTCAGAACGACACTCGCACACGGGAGGTTTGCCTGCCCCTCAGGACTTAAATACACACCGAAGGTCCTTCGGGATTTCACTGGAACCCACAGGAGAGGATGACAACCCATTAAAAAAAATCTCTTTTCATAATATCCAAGGACCCCATTCCTGATGTGCCCCCAAGTCACCGAAGCTTCAAGATGGCAGGAAATGGTTGGGGTGAGATGAAGACAAGGAGAGGCGGCCTGTGAAGACCACTTGGGTTTTAAGCCTGGATTTATTACTCGGCAGCTGTGAGAACTACCTCACACCCATATTACTAGGAAGGCAAACCAAAGGGTGGGAGTCTGTGGAAAATGAAATAACCCTACATCTGGGCCAAGTCATTTCCCCTTCGCTCAGGGCTTCAGCCTCTTCCCGTGTGTCCTTAGATCAGCACACCCACAGGGAGCTGGAAGCTAGGACCCCTGGGAGAGAGCCTCAGCTCCTCCTTGGTCTTTGCGTACTCCGGGGCTGGCGGTACCCTTTCCCCACAGCGGGAGAGTCATCAGAGGCTGGCTGTAGTGTTTGTCACTGAGAGCCGGATTGTGACACTCAGCCAGCAACATCTTGCATGAAACAGACCAAAAGGAGGTGTGTGATCTTCCTGCAGGAGGGTCTGATGCTGTAACTCTTCTTCGAGTTCTACATCAAACGGGTGATTTTGGCATGCTCCAGGGACTCAGACTGTGCTGCTTTGAAATGTTCATTGATTTGGGGGAATAATAAGAAATCTGAAGGGGCTAGGTCAGGACTGTAGGGTAGATGGAGTAAGCTTCCCCCCCCCCCTCCCCAACCACTGCTATCTTTGAAGAATTAGCAGGTAGTGATAAGGGGCGGGGGGTGGGGTGGGGGCTGGGGGAGCACATTCCTCAAGGCACATTTCCTGGCCTTTCCCTCCCCATTGGTTTTCCATGTTCCTAACACATCTTCCTAATAAGCCTCCATGACGCTCATGTGTCCTTGGGGGAAAATCTACCCAGATCACCCTCTTTGGGATCCCTGAAAGCACTTTTTTGGGGAAACCCCCAGGGCAGTTCTCCCCAATCCTACGGGGTCCCAGTTCTTATTGCTGCTAAGAATCAACTCCACGGCAGTGAGTTCGGCTTTTACAAATGTTTCACTTTTTCAGAAGAAACTTCACATGCCGTTTCCCTCTGAGCAAGCACCGTTCTCTTCTTTCCTGTCCTGGAAGTGAAGGCGGGCAGAACCGGCCTAATGAAGATGAAGATGTCTTTCGGTGAGATGTCACCAGCTGAACTGCAGAATGTTCACCACCTGCCTGGCCGTTTATGTTGATTAGTGTTCTCTACTTTCCCACCATCTCAGACAAACGCTCTTTAGAACAGCAACACCTCCATTTATTTGTACGGAAAACACTTGGGCCGTCATATTTATGTAGGTCTTGGCTTTTTCTACCCTATTTCCAAAAAATAAAAGCAAAAGGCAATGCTTGTCAAAGCTGAGAGGGCCACAGGTCTGTGTTTTTGGGGGTGGCAGTTTTTTGAGCCCAGTCCCGATGTGCGGAAGTCTTCCCACAATTATCACCAGGTAGGGACCCAACACTGCTGTCTACATTTTTGTGGCTTAATTTTTATATTTAATACTCTAAGACCAATTGAATGAGGTCCGAGGTGAAACTTTAGGATTTTTTTTCATACTTAAAGGAATGTCCCAATATCTTTCTTGAATAGTTATCTTTTCTCTCATTGATGGGAGTGTCCTGCTTATCACATGCTCAATTCTTGTGTTCGTGCTCATTCTTGGACTTTCTATTTGATTTCATTCCAATGTTCAACATCTCGTGAATTATTAGACTGTTTTAATTATTGTAGCTTTATTTGCTTAAAAATCTGGTACAGTACATCTATTTTCATTACACTTTTGTAAAAGTTTTTTTTTTTTTGTAAACCTCACCTTGATACATTTTGTAACATTCCAGATAAAACCTTGCAAAAAGTTTAATTCAGCCTATAAATTAAAATGAGAATAACTGACATATTAATAATACTTAACCTGCCCATCAAGGAACACAGTATGCATCTTCTTTAATACGTGATTTTTACATCCTTTAGTAATAAATACTTCAGTCTTCTTCAAATAGCTTCCATATATTTCTTTTCCTTAAGGTTTGCCTTAAAGAAAACCTATTTAGCCTTGCTTTTTCACCCTTAAAAAATCCGCTCTGGAATTTTTGTACACTTTTCTGGTTTTTTAAAAAGTATCATTCAGATTTTAATATTTATTATTGTCTTTATTCTATTTTGTTTTCTTTTTCTTTAAGCTTCTTGCACTAAATATTTAATTGGCCAATTTCTTTATTAAATAATTGAAACATTTAAGGCTATAAATGCTACTCTGCTTCAACTGTATGTAGTAAGTTGTAAAAAGTAGTTTTAATCTTTCATAGGTTTTGAACTGCCTAAAATGGCAACTTGGATTTGACCCCATAATGACTAAGAATATTACATTTTCATTTCCAAATGATCATAGGAGCCCTGATGGGGTCGTGGTTACGTGCTGGGCTGCAATCTGCAAGGCCAGCCATTGGAAACCACCAGCCACTCCTTGGGAGAAAGACGGAGCTTTCTACTCCCGTGAAGAGTGACAGTCTCAGAAACTCACAGGGCCAGGGCCACAAAGAGTTGACATCCGCTCAATGGCAGTGAGATAAAGTGTTAACTTCTTAATCCTTATGAACTTCTATTTTATTATATGCACAAAATGAAACTTGTATAGCTTCTTAATGTGGAAATCCATTGAGGTGTTTTTTATAATCATGATATGTGGTTAGTGAGATTAGCTTATTAAATGCACGATGAACACTCTCCATGCCCTGATTTATTTTGTGTCTGCTTGTGGCCAAGTCTCCCATGATGAGGATTTTCTGGCAGCTTCCCCTCTCAGGCGCATGGCCACTCAGACTTTGGCCACAGACTTTCCGGGCAGAGCAGAAGCAGGGCTCCTTTCAGTGCGCATCCCTGCCACGCCCGGCTCAGAGTGCTCCTCTGGTCCAGCACCTCATTCGATGCTCACACAAAACCAGTAAACACACAGACAATTAGCTGCACTCACTACCCTACCAAAGGGAATCGGATGACTCCCCCCAAGTCATGCCACTCAAACCTCTTTTGAACTCCTAGTTGGGTGCTCTTTCCACTGGCCCACTCTGCATAACATTGGGCCTGTCTCCTCAGTGGCTTCGGCGTGCATCCTTGAGGCCTGGACCCAAGGCTGCTTTCTCCACAATCCTGCACCCCCGAGGCCCAGAGCAGAGAGAAACTAACACAGAGGACACGGAAAGACATTTACCGATGTGCAGCGAACAACTGTGATCAAAACAGAATCTTCAGCTTCCCTGCGGGGAATAAGAGACAAAAGTTGTTTAGTCATTGTGTGTGTGTGTGTGTGTGTTTACAAAGCTGCTGCCTCTTTAACCTGATTTCTTTGGCTTGGCACTGAGGGAAAGCAACAATGTACAAAGGGGCCGAGCTGACCCAGCACGTTCCTTCTGCTTGGTTGAAGCCTGGACACCATCATCCAGTCTAAACCTACAGCCGCCAAGCAGAGGCATTTGGATGTAATGTGGTCTTACAGGGTGAAGAATCCATCTAGCTGACGTGATTACTCGGTAGATTTATGTCTCCCTCACCCCCAAACATTTTAAGAGCTAACACTCAGGATGCTATTTCAGAAAGCTTGGGTTAAACACTTCATGGCCAAATAAATGTCTGTGTGGACATCTGAGAGAGCGAAGCCAACCATTTCATGGTCTCTCTGGGTGCACAAAGCCCGTGTAATGAGCCCGACCGTATGAGACATTTCCCTTTCTCTTACATTCCAACAGTGATCAAATCAACTGGATAATAACCAAACCATTTTTGTATTAGCAGACGAGACTGAGAAATCTATATATATATATCTATATATCTATATCTATATATATCTATATCTATATATCTATATCTATATCTATATCTATTCTTTTTCTTCACCATGGCTTCACAGAGAAGCAGTTGGCAAAATCATTTCATTTGCCTTCTCGCAATCTGAGCCCTGAGGCCAATCACCGCTGCTGTTATTTTCTGGGATCAACTCAGTCTGAGGTATCTAGGTGGCTAGGGCTGGCTTCTTTCCAACCGATATAAACAGACCTTTCTGAGATTGTTCACAATAAACTGAGGTCCAAGTGCTATCAAAAGGGCATCTGGGCCTCCTTGTAGGTCTTTGCAGGACTTAGAGAGGCTTTGTTGGTATTGTGTCCGTTTGCTCTGCTTTGCCCCCTGCCCCCTCTCTTCACAAGTGGCCACGAGCAGTGTCTGCCCTCGTACACACTGGGACCTGTGCTAGAACATGAGCAATGCTGAGATTGTCACGCAGGCAGGTGACAGAGGCACAGGTGCTCAACACACAGCAAGTCACATCCCTGCTCAGAAGCCTTCGGTGACTCACCCTTCCTGAAGGGGGAACTTGTTGTCTCAGCATTCAAGACCCTTGACTATCTGGGGGGCTCGTTTCCCAGAGCTTTTCTCCAAATGTGGGAACACTGGACTGCTGAGCAATAGGACCTCCCACCCTCCACCCCCCACCCCCATTCCTTATCTTGTGGTTCCACCTGCCTTTGCGACTCACTAACACTTGGCGTGAATCACGTCCCCTCCCTCTTAGTGGCATCTCATTCGATGTGACATTTAAGGCACAGGGGAAATACTTTGGGGCCCTTCGCGATTCTGCCAACCACACCACCCTCCAGTTTTTGCAGCCATTCCCTCTGCTTCTCTAGATGCCCCACCTGCCCTCCACCTTAGAGGGGGGCACGTGATCTGTATCTGTGTGCCCAGCCTAGGAGTGTCTGGAGCACAAAGTCTACTTTCCCCAGAAGGTTTCTTACCCAGAGTAGGTGCTCAATGAACAGACAGGAGTGAAACGTTTCCTATGCCCCTGTTCGCCCAAGCCCCAGAGCTCTGGTGATGTAGTGAGGGAAGCACAGGGCTGCTAACTGCAAGGTCAGCAGTTCAAAACCACCAGCTGCTCCACTGGAGAAAGATGCAGCTTTCTACTCCTGCAAAGAGTCACCCACGGGGGCAGTTCTCCCGTCCTACAGGGTTGCTCTGTGTCTGAACTGACTGCATGGCTTTGCGTGTGGTTTTAGATTCCTGGCAGCAGTGGTCGCCACAGCCCAACGGTGGGACTGACCAGCTGCGTACCCATCGATGAACGGCTGAGCACAATGGGTCGGTACATGCCACAGAGTTATCCTCAGCCATTCCAAGGGTGGAATGCTATACATCCACAAAAGACGTGACCGTAGCAAAAGTAAAAGGCTCAAGAAGAGTAAGGACATGGCTATCAGTTGGCTTCACTCTTTGGCATCCATTGCAACAACCCTACACATCCTTAGCAGGGAGGACCTGTATCGTCAGCATCTTCTTCCCACAGTGCCTGGGCGCACAGGGCTTCAGTCAATGCAGCAAGCACTGGGACGCTTCCCAGGCTGTTCATAGGCGAGGAGGGAAAAGCAGCACACTAGCAGCCACCACAGAGACGCCATCTGAATACACAGGGGCGGGGGTGCTGACGTGGGCTGGCCTTGCTGTTTTCAAGGAGACTGGACTTCCCTAAACTCACAGCGAGATCAATGACACCATCCCTGTGGGCCCTCCGTGTCCTGTGATAACTTATGCAGCTTGGCGGACAATGACAGACAATTCAGTACCTCAGAATAGCAATTGCTCGTTCACAAGAGAGGTCTTCAGCGGGCTCGTTGTTCATTTGGAGAATCTGGTCCCCGGGGAACAGCTTACCGTGAGCAGAGCCTCCTGTCAGACAGAAATGCAATCAGAGGTGCTAGTGCCAAGAGAGACCAGACCCCCGTCGCCACAGCAGAATAGCTGAGCGGCCACTGCCCTCATCCCCAGGACACTGGCTCCCCCTCCAGCCCACCCCCGGGGTTGACGTGGCTCTCCTGTTCCATCCTGCTTAAAAGCACGGAGAACGTGGCCACCAGCCATTTGAACTTCAAGCGCCCTTCAGAGAACGGCCTGGGAAAGGGCAGCAGAGTCCTCTAACTCAACAGCGCTGGCCCGTGCATCTAGCACGTCCATCCATCTCTAAAGCACACTGGTGTATGTGGGGTGTGCGGTGTGTGTGTGTGGACATGAAATGAAATGGCTTTCACTCGTCTCCAGTCTCACCTCAATACACAGCTAGTGCGTGACAACACGCACTACATTCTCAGCCCGCTCCTCTCCACCTCAACACACCTCTCCTTCACAAACCAAGCGAAAACAAACCATCGTCCCATGACCAGCAAGCAGGCCAGAAACCCGCCCCAGCTTGAAGCACGGAAGACTTAGAGGGGAGGGCTGGCTGCTCAGACCCCTCCTCACCGGCCCAGGTGTTGTGGGGAGGTCAAGCTCCCAGGGAGGCCAATGGGAGTCTGGGGTCCTGAGCAGCAGGTATGCTGGGGACCCCCGCCCTCCCGGCCCCAGAGGAAGGTGAACGCCCCCAACAGAATTAGGTCAGAATTGGGTGTGTCCTTCCTAACTTCTTGGGGGTACAATTTTTGGGGTTTGGTTTGGCATGCTGCTACAGGAAAGAGAGCCAGCGTAGTTTCCTCACGAGAAGTGAACTTGGGGAGTTTTCCAGTGGTCCTCACCTGCCGTGACGGCCACCACCGTGAGAGGAAGGCTCTCGGAGACGTGGAATCCGTAGTCCTGGAGGACCATGTCTTTGTCTACCTTTACGGTGTGCCTCACGGCGGGGAGGGTCTGGGTTGGGTTCCCGGAGGACACATCCGCTGCAGCGACTTTAGCCCTGGAAGAGGGGGAGAGGATTCCAGTCAGTGGCCACAAGCAGGGTCAACCCTCAGCATTCTGCAGGGGGACAGCACCGAGCTTAAGTCAGACGCCAAGTTGTCCCTTGGGAGCCGCCAGGCTAGCACCACCGGGAAAGGTGCTCTAAACGCAAAGCCATGACATGAGGAGGCCCAGGGAAACCAGTGTTCACTTTGCAGGCAGGGGTGAGGGCTCAGGCAGGCGTCAGCTACAAGGGGAGACATATGGGCTGAACCTTGAGTGATGTTTGGGTGCTGCCTACACATCCCAGATCCTGGACTACAGAGGCTACTCAGTCCCTGCTGCTGAGGCAGAGAGGGAGAGTAGGAGAAAGAGAGATGATGGCCCACAAGCCACATGGTTACAATTCAATAGTTCAATCGGACCAAGAAAAGTTGTCCAATCATGACCGCAATCCATTTTAGAACATTGTCTTCTTCTTTGTACTCATCGTTATTAGCTCCTCATTTCTCCCCAACCTCCCTTGCCATGTTCCCAAGAAGCCATTAACCCAGTGACTGTCCCTGGAGATCTCCCTATCCTGGATTTCATATACAGAAACACATTTTCAAACAGAAACAATGGACAACAATAACCAAGTAAAACAGGAAATAAGCTTCAACTGAAAAGTAGAAAAATATGAAAAACTAGAACACATTAAAAATGAGTTAAATGGGAGATGAAATGACAGATAAGGTGTTAATTTTAACCTAACCACATCTGCAATTGATGGATCACTTTTATACGGCTTTTCTCACCGCAGTCTTGTAACTCCTGCCAAGTGCTTGGGTGAGACTCTGTAAATAAGTTTTTGGGACCCACCAAGCTTGCTAATGATGCATATAAAATACACAGTGCCCCTTGTGGGGATGGGACCAGGCATATAAGGTGTATGGAACCCTACTGAGGGGATTGGTCAGTTTTGTCATCCTGTGGGTTTTAAGATGCACCATCCCAGATGGAAGGGGGAGGTGACTAGTATCAAGAAGAGGCAGGTGTAGAATGAGTCTAGGCCCCTGCCCTGAGAACCTCTTAGTTCCAGGAGGCAGAGCTCCAGTACGGGAGAGGCAGGAAGTGGCAGACAACACGGCAGAATGCAGGTGGACAGAGGGGGCAGTGCACAAGACGGTGCAGGTGGTCTTCCCAGCCCACAGCACCTTTGGGTAGGAGCTGGCAGGTGGAATGGCCGACTCTGGGCATTTGGCAGCGCTAGGATCCCGACCCACCTGAGAGACCTTGAGGCGGAAACTTGGTGTGGAGTAAGTTGCCTCTGAGCACTTCTCGGCTAAGCGGCACTGCTCTGTAACACTTGCCCAAGCAAGACAAGGACCAAGGGCCAGGGAGAAGCCTGCCTAGGGACACAGCTGAGATGTACAGACCCAAGAACTGTATCCTGACTTGTTCCTGATCCTGAATTGCAACCTGGCTACTTCCCTAATAAACTCTGTAGTCATGAGCATGGCTTGTGAGTTCTGTGTCCACTTCAATGAATGACCAGCCCAGCAGAGAAGGAGCGCGCCTTGGGCAGAAGGGCTAGTGTCCAAATTGGTCAAAGGGTTGAAGAGAGAAGGTACGTCTGATGTCCACCTCATCCAAACAAGTCGTGGGCTGTTGTTGATCTTGATTCTCCTTCAACCTTCTCAAGCTGGAGGAAGTCAGACACCTCCACCCGGCATTTTTATGGTGAGTAAACAAACATGCAGGCAGGAGGCAGGGCTTACATGTGAGGACCACAAATAAAGAGTGGGTAACTGTTCAGTTTGAAGATCTGATGATGGTTCAGTGGTAGAGCTCTCCACTTCCACCTGGGAAATGTGGGCTTGATCCCCAGCCGAGCGCAGCCATCACCCACCTGTCCACGGTGCCTTGTATTTGCTGTGGTGCTAAACAGGCTTACACAGAGTTTCCAGACTGAGACACACTATGCAGAAAGGCCAGGAGATCTACTTCCAAAAATCAGCCAATGAAAACTGCATGCATCAAATTGCTCTAGTCACTTTGCACGTTGAGCTGATGGTAGCTAGCAACAGCAAAAGTAATTTCATAGGCAGGTTGTTTCCTTGATGAATGTGGTAGTTATACAATTTGTTGTCAATCTGAGAGGATTATGAGTGAAGCGGTGGAGTCTAGCCTGTCAATCATTGTATAAACAATGAGGCCTCTGTGTGGGCATGACCTTCCCCTGAGGATTCTGGGAATTCCTGTATTTCTCTCTCTCTGCTCACTCCCTGGGAGACATTGCAGCTGACAAGACACATGGAACTATACTAGTGCCCAGAGCTGGAGAAGCCACACGGACCTACCCTGATGCAACCAGACATCTGAAGCCAGAGAAGCCATGTAGAGACCCCTGCCAGCACTAAGATACTTGACACCACCACTGGATCCGCAAGACTTCCCACCCACTGGCCTGTGATCTTCCTGCATTTGGCGTCACTGCATGTGTTACGTGAGTCTGAAGAGGAATTTGTAGACTGGTATCGGACATATTGGCTGATATTGGACTTATGGACTTGATCTGGACTGGGCTGGGATGTTTTCTCAATATTTAATTGCTCTTGTATACAAAGCACTTTCCTATACACATATACATGTCACTGAATTTGTTTCTTTAGTCTACCCAGGCTAACATGATTCCCCCTCTTCCTCCTGTTTTATTTTATGGGGACTAATCTTTATGCCCTTCAACTTTGTCCCTGTGAGGATTCTAATATGAAGGGGCTTCAAAAACAAAAAAAATCCATGGGAAAATGGAAGGAAAACAGAATGGAAATTGTGCTATACACTGAGGATTCCCTCTGCATTAATCTTAAAAAACATCTATGTTCTATATATCTAAAAAAAAACAAAAAAACCCCAAACCTGCTTAAGCTAAAACTTCAATTTCCTACCTCTCAAAAACCACAAAGCTAGTCCTAAGCTATTTTTTCTTTGTCTGTGGTTTTTAAACGATTTCACCCCCTCCAAGAATCAGTGCTCTTTTCTGAAGGAGGCTGCACGGGGAAGGGATGCGGTGTGTACTGTCTTTGTAAACAACAGAGGGTTGAGCAGAAGCAGCTCCCTCGGGACTCTGAAGTTAAGGCCTATCATTTATTCTCATTCATTTGCTAAATACTGTCAAGGCCTCTGCCTAATGCAAAAGAGCCTTCTTATCTGCAAATCACTTCTCTGCCATTTGTAAGGCTCTCACATTTCCACGAGGATCAGGAAATACGAGAAATTGCTTCCATGGGGCCAAAATGAATGCGGCCAGTCCAAGCACAAAGCCTTCATGCGCGCTTCCCATCGAAGGGCCCGTCAAGCCCTCTCCAAGCCAGTCTGAGCCCCAGGTCCTGACCCGGGCAGATGCGTCGTAGAGCGAGGGTTTCTTCTGGGAAGCTTGTGGGTCACACTGAGAAAGGTCAGCAGAGACGTAACAAAAAAGAAGCAAAAGACTGAATAAAACCCACGGCTTTTCCTGATTTTGGAGAGAGAAAAAAAGGTTAAACTATAAAGGGATCTTTATGTAACAACAATATATTCTGGACACTGCTGCAAGAATGAGGGTAAACCATAAACTTACAGCCCCCAGTCTTAATCTGCGCCCATCGGACAGAGGCAGGAAGCTAAACTGCCTGGTGAGGGCTTCACCAATGAAACTGAATAGGGAGTCTAGATAAGTGGGCACAGTGGTTACACTAACCCCAAGGTAATCAGTTCGAAACCACCAGTCACACCACAGGAGAAAGATGAGGCTCTCCACTCCTGTGAAGAGCTAGTCTCAAGACACCCACGGGGGCAGGTCTACTTGGACCTCTGGGGTCACTTTGAGTCAGAATGGACTAGATGGCCGTGAGTGGTGAGTGAATTACTGAGACACAGAGGAGTCCTGGGGACACGGGTCAAGTGCATGACAGGTAGCCAGAAAGGGGGCAGTGTGACACCACCAGCCCCTCTTTGGGAGAAAGATCTGGCGGTCTTGTTTCTGTCAAGATTCAAGTCTTAGAAACCTTGTGGGGCCCTTCTACTTTGTCCCAAAGGGTCCCCGTGAGTCAAAATTAACTCACCAACAATGGGTTTGGTTTTGATCTCGACCCCAAATAATCCAACGTAGTGAAAAAAAATCCCCATCATGCTATTGGGCACCATGCCCGGTGACACATTTCAAAGAGGTGAGAAAAGAAAACGAGAAATAAGGGGGGCCCTTATGTGCCACTCTGGGGAGGAGACGCATTTCAGGGCCCTGAGGACATACAGAATGGCATCAGCGATGAGATGGATGATGGATGGTCTGAGTGTGAAATTTAGAAAAGCGTACACAAGGGTAAGCATAAGCTCATTACAAAGAAAGGTGCTCTTTATTTTTTAAAAAGTTTCTCACGTGTCTAAGCTTTAGTAGGGAGCCTTGGAAAAAAGAAAGAAAGACGGTGACAAAAGCATTGCCCACAGACGAGCGATTCCAAAGAGCCTATCTTTCCTTCAGTCGTAAGCAAGATGGAAGCTAACGAAGATGTTTTTATGGAACAAACTGCCACCAGGGATGGGTGTTGGGTTTACCAATAAGATGCCAAGAGCTAAGTCTAATCCTAGCAGGGATTTCCCAGGAATCTGCTGGGGTCAGAAGGTGATGGTGGCTCTCTTGTGGGATTCGAAGGGAAAATGTTGATAGATTTTTCGTGAAGGACACAGGTTGATCACGGGAGCAACACGAAAGAAAAATAAAACTTTCACTGGTGAGAAAAAGGGCAGGAAAGGAGCCTGAAGGAATTGTTTTCCATCACGACAATGCACCTGCTCATTCTTTAAGGTACAAGTGCTTCCCTATGAGAGAGACTCTCGGTGGAAAACTGTACTCCAATCACCCTACTGTCCCGATCTTACCCCTTCAGACTTCCTCGTATTCCTAGACTTCAATAACACTTAAAAGGAACATGATTTAGTTCCTGGAAGACGCTCAAACGGCCGTCTGGACATAGGGTAAATCAAAGGTGGCAGAATTAA